TATATATATATATTATTTTTAATAATCAAAACACATTTTCTACGTTCTAAACTAATGCATAAATAGGTCACTAGAGTTAGTCTAATGTTTTTATTTTATTTTTAATTTTTTAAAGGGTAGGAGGGAAGGAAGGGATTGAAGTAGAAGGGAGAAGTTTGATTGTCGCGTTCTTATAATCTTTTCTATGGATTAAAAATAAAAAAACTAATGCATAAATATACTTTTCATCTCTTAACTATTGGCCATGCATATATTATTTTTTACCCAAATAGATAAAATGTACCTCGCATAATCAAACAATTGTCATTTGCAATAAGGATTTTATTTGGTTCTAATTAGCTTTTATTTTTTCTTTCATAATCTATCGACATATGCTTGATAGAGCTCAAGATTATGAATCCATAACTTATTACTTTCTTATTGTTGAAGAATGACTACCACTTCTCGTTAGTGATGGGGTTAAACTTTTTACATCTTTCTTACGTTAGATAATGTTTAATTCATTCTTTGATTCATCAATTATTTTTTTTATTCATAATTTTTTGTTCATTCATAATGTTTTAGTTCAAAGTGGTCTTATATCACTTCTCCTCGAAGATATAAAGAGATCCACTTTATGTGACTTGCTCCGGCTTTTTATGCTCAAATTTATTTTACTTTTTTTTAATTGGTTGCCTTATAAATGTTTTATGAATAAAAGGGATTTAGTTTGTGTGAGTTCCTTTATATCAAATACAATTCATACAAATAAAAAAATACATGTTTAAGAATAATAATAAAAAACAAGGATTTTAAGATACATAATTAAATTAAAAATAATTTATTTTAAATAATAATTATGGATAAAATGCGATAAATAAATTATATATATTTGATGAGAGGAAGGGGCACAACGCCCCCAACTATAAAAGGAATTTAAATCTAAGTGAAAAACTAGTCATATAGGCATAAGTCATAATGACATATGAAATAAAAGAAAGTATTACATAATAAATAATTAAAGACACTTGAGAATTCATCCCCTTCTTTGCAGTAGGTCAGTATTCAATTCTTGTAAAGTATGTTGCCATTTGCAAGATGAATCATGGATAGTTATTTTTTAATAAATTTTTTGAAAATATTTAATTGAATTTAAAACAATTTAAATAACTTATTTGATATAATAATTAAAATAGGAGATTAATAGATTATATATATATATATATTGAATAATTACTTTTTATTTAATAATATATTTTAAGATATATAAAAAAATTATCATTTGTATTAAATATCACATTAAAACTCATTCAAATATTTTACTATACATATTTATATTTATTTTTTATTTTATCTATAATTTTTTTAAATAATATTGTTCATACAATTTATATTAAAGTAATTAAATTAAAAAATAAAATAACTTATAATATATAATGATATTTAATGATTAAATAAAATAAAATATTATAAATCATTTCAAGTAGTATTCCTCTATACTAATTCTGATTAAATCAGTAACCAAAAACCAAATCTGATTAGATCTGATAAACAAATAATATATAATTTAATTTGAATAAAAGTTGATATTAGTTGAAGTTTAGTTTCGACAAATACATAGAGATTGCAGCAACATGGTTTAGGAAAGGAGCAGGCGAATTTATGGGGTTTGTTTGCAATTGCAAATAACAATAACAATAGAACGGTTTGTGATTGTGAATTGTGATCGATCGAATCCGAACATGGAAGGAGCCTCAAGCTCAGGGTACGCGTGGGCAGTATCTGCTGGATTCAACGCCGCTCTTGCAGCCATTTCAGTTAAGCTCTCTCTTCACCAGGTTCGTCAATGGTTACTCATTCAGATTTCCCTTCTAATTTTCATATAATAATAATAATTATTATTATTGTTTCTATTTCTTTCACAGTTTGTTAGGTACGGGATGGTGGTATTGTTCAATGTCACGATGTGGGCTTGTTATGTCAACAGCCTTAAAGCTCTTTCATCTCTTCAGGCAACTGTCACCAATTTCGCTACCAATTTTATCTCTTCCGGTTTGGCAGGTTACTTCTTCTTTCACGAATCACTCTCTTTCCAGGTCAGTTACCCCGCTTCTCTTTTCCATTTATACACTCTTATTTTATCACTTTCGCTTCCAATTAATAACAAACTTTTGATTTGCCTGGCTGTTAATTGTTAAAGTTTATTGGGGTTACTCCATTTGTCATTTAGATTACATGCTCATTTTAAACAATCTTCAATTTATTTATTTTTATTATCTAGTAAATCGCCCCATTTTTGACCCTTCACTTTCACCATATTTTAACTATGGATAAAACTTAGGTACATTGTTCTTCAATTACAATTGGAGATACGTGTTTGAGTAATATGCTTTGATATTTAATGGAATGGTTTCTTACGCATATTATCTAAGTGAAATTTTAATTCTAATTCTAATTAAAAGAATATTGCCGACTGTATTTGTGACACTGTATCTAAATTTTGTCCTTGAACTATTCAGTCTGTGGATTGAAGCACTCTCTCATCCACCCCTGGTTGGAACTTGGATTGTTTTTGGATTATGAATGAATCGGGTTAGCCTCCCGAGTGCTTCACAGTTTTAATTGTGGGATAGTCAGTATGGTAACCCCTTAAATTGAGCTGAAGAATTCAGGAATGAGTTTTTGGTACTCTTTTTTACACATCAAGTTTATCTTTGGGTTTTAGTGCGTGTTTGGATTCATGTTCGATTATCCAAGATCATTTTGAAATTATAGATGTTCATACGTTTGGTCCCTTGTTGAGGAATTAATTTTGCATCCAAAATTGATTTTGAGTTGAAAGAACTTTTTATTTTATTTATTTATTTATTTATTATTTTTTTTATAGAGTTTTACTACTGACTTGCTTTTAGAATAAAAACATTCAAATATAAATTACTTCACTTTAAAATCAATTTTGTAAAATTATTTTCATCCAAAATCAAAATCAATTTTGCGAATGCTCCTGTTTCTGTAGCACTAACACTTGATAGAGTAGACGACCACTTGGGTTTTCTTTGTTTGTTATTGATGTTGTCACTTGACAGTGCTAAATAGTTAAACCACCAAAGAACGCATGGCCGGTTATTTGCCTCATGCATTCAACTTTTTGATTCATGCATTTTCTGATGCAAAAACTGTTCCACAGTGGTTTGCAGGTGCACTACTTATAATAATTGGTGTAGTAATACTTAGCAACTCAAGTATTGAGAAGAAGGCTAGCACTGATTAGGTTTTACAGTTCAGCATGATACCTTTTAGGCTTTCTTGCTAAAGACGGAGGCAAGCATCTGCAACTGCATGGAAGCATATTTTTTTTAACAAGAATAGTAAAGTTAGATAGTTTCCAGGGCAGTTCACCTTACATGAAACAAACACCACACAAATCGTATTTTGCCTTCACCGATTTAATAACTCTTGTTATATGTCATTCAGGATGAGGCAATTGTTATTATTAGCCACAAGCAACTTTTAGTTGCACCATCTCATGGCTCCTTTTTTAAGTTTATATTTGTACAATGATCTCAAGGTTCAATCAGCTATGTTTATGAATGTTGTTCAAAATTCGTCTGCAACTACAAGTTTTCTATGAATTCAGTCATTTCAGTTTCAATGGGTAAAGGATTTGGAATGAGAGAGTATTGCACTATTGCTGCCCTACCCATAAGAATATGACTGGTGCATGGTTATCCCAACAGTATCTGTTTTCTGTCTCTGCAATGATCTCATTCAACTGGTTTTTGATGACCCCCCTTTTTTTTTCTACAACCTTTTTAGCAACCCATGTTGATCTAGCATTCTTGAGGTTCAATACCCAGTTGCAAGTGTGTCTGTTAACCTATATTGCCTTCAACTTAAATGTGCTCACCCATTCAACTTAGAATTACTAATACAACAAATTTGCATTTGCCTTGGCATCTAATTTTTAACAGTTCGGCATCATTTTTCTTAAATTTCAACTGCCTTCCAGTCAAGATTGCATACTCTTGAATTGCTTTTTTGGCATAATTTCTCTTACACTTCAACTGTCCTCCGGTCAAGACTGCATATTCTTCAATCGCTTCTTTGGACATTTTGTAGAACCAAACATGATGTGAAGTTTGAGTGAGAAGTATGTTTAAATGGATTTATGTTTGGAAACATTTACATGAAAAGTGATTATAAGTAAATGAATGTTTCGATAGTATCAATAAAATTTACTTCTTGATATGTACTTTTTAATACGAGTATGTAAATATTGTCGGAAACGGGTCCTCTAGTTCAAAGTCTATCCTTTCTTAAACCCAACTGTTGATGTATCCAGCAGATCAGGAAATTCAAGCTAACAAAACGCAGTAAAATGTTTTGTTCACTCGTGAACTTTCTTCTATTAGTATCCTTTCTCTTCTCATGTTTTTGGAGGAGACGAAACGAATGGGGGAATAAAAAAAATAGCCAAATATATTGGCACAAAATTTGAAACCCCGTTTGCAGCTTCAAAATAAGGGATAAAACCCCCTAATATTTATAGAGGAAATATACGTTTAATCCAATATTAAAAAATGTTTCTGTAATCTAGATTTTCATTTTTCTTGAAACTTTGCAACAAGAGAAAAATCAGATTGATTAATATATGAAAAAACGAAATTGTTATAGGCAAATTAATTTGTTCACAATTTTTTTTTTGCTTTTGGAAATTAGTGTTACTTCTATAATTTTTTTTATTGAGATAATCTGTAATTGAACTATACACCTATGCATTTTTACATAAATTATTATAATTAACTAGTTGTCTATTTGTAGATTTGACCTATTTAACTAATATTTGGCATGTTTTTTAACTAATATTTTGTATATGTTTAACCATTTATTAAAGTGATATATATATATATTTTTATTTCACACCCATGTCCCAAAAAGTGATATGCATAGAAAAATATGCGAGTGATATTATTCTTTGCAACTAACCCCTTTAAATATTCAAACCAAATTCCATTGTGTAGAAGATATCTATAATTTTACATCAAAATTTATTAAATGTTGAATCATATTACTTCTGATCATATTTTATTTTCAAGAAATCGATATTCAGATATGATTGGTAATTTTTGTTTTATACTTAACCAATCTAAATTATTCTAACATTTTTAATTAATTAATATTCAAAATATGGTAGAGAAAATAACATCGGTCATTTTCCTAATTTATTCATCTTACTAATTAAGAGAAATGTATTTTCAGAAGAAAAATGCCTGTTAAGACCATCGAAAGCGGTATATAATATATATTAAATATCATGATTTTTCACTAATTTTTTTTATCAATTTCATTAACATTAGTCTTAACCATTTATTTTAAGAATTTATAAGAATAATAGTTTTTATTAAGAAAAAATTACGTTAAAAGTGTAACAAATAGTTTTTTCGATAAAAAATAACGAGTATTGATATTTTTTTTTATGAGTCCAGTAATGATATTCATTCGAATGAGATTGAAATAAGATAAAAAAAAATGTGATGAGTAAAAGAAAAAAAGTTTAAATACTTAATTCGTCTTTATAATTATATATATATATATATACA